GAAAATCGGTTTTCTATAAATGTTTCATTACCTATGGTCAGCGAAGATGTATAAATTCATCTTTAGGCCTTTACCAATAATAACTAGTACCAAGTCGTAATTGCTTATTTCATGAATAGGTTCTAGAAAAATAGTCTTTGGAACGCTGTTCTATACTAACCTAAAAATAGCGAACACATTGATAGTTCAAATTAGAAATTTCTATATTTTGTCAAATAGTATTTCTTTTATCACGACGTAGTTTTCGTTGTACCTACGTGCAAACTCAACACATACATATTTATATAATTGTAATTGGTAATTTATTGATGTAACAGTATTTTTCCTACAACCTCTATTCTCTAGCATGCTGTCTCAATTAACCCACTGAATGTGGCACTGAACCTGGGTGGTCTAGCGAATTAGCACACCTTTTTACGGCCGATGGTTGGAGGTTCAATTCCTCCCACGGTGCTAACATTTGTATTCAATAAGTATAATTGTCGGGGTGTTAAGTATTTATATTAGTTGTCTAGTATAACACAAGTATGGGACTAGATGACACTGTGAATTGTTCTATGGGTTGTATAAATTGTTCTAATAGGGTTGAATCTTTGTAGTGTTTGAATCAATAAAATTTACTCAAAAATAGCTACTACCGGTACACTATACTACCTGTTCTCCCTTACATGTAGTAGGTATACAACAAATGGTGGAATGAGATTATTAGTAATAGGAACTAGTATTGTCATTGGTAGCAATGTAGACATATTACCTAGTTAATTCTTGTCGGAATTGTAACCATTTATCTGGCCTAATTTTGATCCTCATCCTAATCATCCATCTTTAGTGCTCTGCTAGCACAAGAGAGCATAATTCATTCGTATATTAAAAAAAAAGCATACGGTTTTATTTTGAGTGTCTCTCATTATTAACATTGTCAAGTTTACAACTCGTGACCATGGCTAGTGCAACCTAATCGAAACGTCGTAAGAGGTAAATGCCCTTATTTACCATAATATTATTCGTAATAAGATATGATTAACAATAGATATAATGTATATTAAATACAAAACTTTAAAAATAACTTTTTTTCTGGTGTATACACTGGTATGGTACTAGGAACGACCGTCTGACATTCATCTCTAATAGAGGTACCTATTACTTACTCGTGTTTTAAAAATATTCAATGCCATAGGAGGTACTTATCAAACGATGTGTGCTAGTTATTGCTTAGGTATAATTTAAAAATAATATTTCACTGCCAAACGAACATTCAAGTGAAACAATAAAGGTCGCGGTCAGCGCCATCTGTTGAATGGTCATTAATAACTTTGATGGTGAATTGTTTCCAGTTTGAATATAGAATCCAATTAATTTGAATTCCGAACTTTCCATCCTTTTCATCGAATTATGGTGACGGCGGTATACTTGGGGAATCGATATCAAACTTATTCAATAGGTAAATACCAATCTACCCTATTGAATAATCATTTTGCATATTTACATATATTTACTTAGAGATCGTCATCATCATTTCAATGAACTTAAAATCTCATAAAGTTTCATTATTTAAGTAAAGAAAGTGTTCCGTTCCGAAAGTGTTATATATCCATGGTGAAAAGATTATGACTTTGAAAAATAAAGCTCGTGAAAAAGAGTGAAGTTTCTAGTTGGATTTACACAACGCTGTCGGCGTTAATGTACAAAAAGTATCTTAACTATTAATATGTTATATGATATCTTTACGTACTAAATTTCATTCATTTTTGTGGAGTAGTTTTTGAGTAAAAGAGCAATAAACATATGATTCAATTATTAATACTTTCTAACATTAATGTTTGTAATATTAGTAGTATTGATAATTCTACATTATTAAAATTGGATATAATAACTACGTTAGCCATGCTGCCAGAAATTAACGTAATATATCATATATTGATCAAGTTATATTACATAAATATTTTATGAAATTTTCGTTACTCCAGGATAGAGTCAAGAACTAAATAAAACCAGCATATACCAATGCAAAAAGAAGTACCCTAGCCTAAAATAGGGTAGGCACTAGTACCTAAAAGTTAACTCCTCTTTACCTATAAGGAGCTTAACGTGAAGATATATATATAGACACCTACACAATTCGATTCACGCTAACATATAAAAGATTACAGAAAAAATATACTTTTTCTATTCCTCAGGACTACAATATCGCCAAAGAACCTTTCTACATTGAATACATATAATTGACTGACTATGATCAAGGAAGCGTGACTAGGGCATTCTTTTTTACAGACCCCAGCGACCCGTAGTTCTGCATGAAAGCACTTTTATCCATATGATATGCTTTATCATTGCCTCAAGAGATACTCCGAAGTTTATATATTATCCCTTGTGGTTTTATGAATATTATTTTCCCTTTTATCGATGTCGATAATTTCTTATCGATGCGTAATAAAAAGATGTACATGATGATAGTAGGCTAATGGTCGTTTTGTAAAAAAAGACCCTTGCCCAGTCGTATGTCAATAGGTTATTATATTTTTTTAAGTGGCTGAAATGGCAAACAATCTGATTCATTAGATGTAAACTGGATACTGCTGTGGTATTAATTCCCTCCTATTTAGACTTAGTATAAAGTCATCTGCATGGGTACCTCACTCACACAAACAGGCCCATTTGCCGACATCAACACTCACCGTCACCACTCGTGTTAGGAGCCCTACCAGATTTGGCTGAGAAACACGAGCCAAAGCCAGAGCCAAAGCAGCTACAGGGACACGTTCTACTATAGAACTTAGTGCAGTTCTAGACAGGTCAAGATATTAATCATACAATATACTACAAAAACGTATTGACATCCCGTTCACACCACTGGCGTCATGATGTATAAGTGTACATATTTTTTTTTATTGGGAGGCTTGGACCTGCAGCACTACCTACATAGATATATTGTACTCACCCCTTTTCAGAGTTCGCTAAGTGTATATAAATGACCGCTGCCCCTTTTCATCAAGTTAGCTGGCTGATCAGCGTGATTGCAATACATTAAGAAAAAACTTATTACATCAGGTAACGAATAATATCTCTCGTGACTGCTCAAGAAAGTCTTTACGAGAACTTTTTATGGAACGTTCAATGTAACAGCGTCGTCATCATGTAACGACGTTCACATATCGCGGAATGGCAAAATATTTTTTGTTCCTTTGACAACTGACCTTTAGTGGAATACTTATAATTTCCCCTGTGTCCCGTTGTAACGACAAAGGAGTTCTTTACCGAATGTGCGCTGAATGGACCTTGTAGAAAAACGTTTAACTACATATATATCTACATTTTTGTGGCCTCGGTGGCGTAGCGGTTTAGAACACTGCTTTATTTCCGACGGTCGCGGGTTTGGTTCCTCGCACGGTGGTAACATTTGTATTTATGAGTATGAATATTTGTCTGATACAAATCTGGATGTTATCTGTGTATATAATATATGTATTTATAAAATAATATATTGAAGTATTTATATCAGTTGTCTAGCAGTTCTTTTTTGCATGTTGGTTAGTAATACTTGAAAGACAGATAACTAAAAGACTGATATTATCCAAAAAAGTAAATGTATGTAATTAAAATGGTATTTTTTTAAACTTTCCCTTACATGGCTCCAATTACCTCATTCTCCCCTACCTACTATACAAACTCTGTTTAGCTTGGGACTAGTTGGTGCTGAAAAAATTGTATAGGGTTTATTATCATTATTATTAAAATTTTGTTTTCATAATTATTATTATTGATCGGTATTTTCTATATCTTAAGGTCTATTAGTCTATAAATTTTATCTACACCCAAACCTCACAGAGCTGTATATATATATTTCTTGGTGGACCGGTAACAAAAGCATAAAAAATATTTTAGAACATTTTTTTTTTCATAATTTTTTTTATTTGATTTTATTATAGATACTGGACAACATTATTATACATTAATATGAAATACGTATACTGTAGAAATCACTTCAGAATATCAAGGAGGGGACTGGTGGCAAGGGAACTATGAAACCCATTGCTGGTGTATCTAAGCGTTAGATTAAAATTCACAGGATATCCGCTGCAAAAATAGTTAATTCCGCGTGAATTTCTCACGATGAACTAAGTGACCTGATTTCTGACCTGTTTCCATCTCTCATTTGGTACCAGCCACCCTATTATCTAAATCGGAATGGCCATTATCGTGTAGATTAAAATAACCCCTTTTATATGGGGGGAAGGGCATTGTTAGTAATGTGGACTAATAACCTCATTGTTAGCAATGCACCATGTCAGGTTGACCTCCACGTGGAAAGTCCCCTGAAAAGCGACGTGATAAATTCTTGGTGAATTTGCCACGATGGGCTCACTGACCAGACCTCATGCTCATCTTATCATCCTCCACTGGTGCCCCGCCAGCGTATACTATTAGTGCAGGCGGAAGTACATTCTCATCCATGAAAATTTATAATCCATGAAATCCATTCATCCATTGAACACCATTATCATCCATGAAAAAATAAAAATAAAACTCCTTTTAGTATGGGAAAAGTGAATTATCAGTAATGTGAATTAATAACCTTATTAGTAGCTATGTACCATGTCACGCTGAACTCCAGGTAAATTGCCATTTGTCAAGATGGGCTAACTAACCTGACTACATCCACATTTTATTATCCTCCACTCGTGGCCTGCCGCGTAAACCGTTAGCACAGCAGGGTACTATCATATCATTATCGTACATAGAAAAGGCCTTCTTATATATGAAAATGAGTTTGTACGGGCAGCGCTTTGACCTCTCAACCAGTCATTATTCAATTTGACATATATGCTACATAGTATTTTGGATGAGAGCAGGTCATAAGACATTATAGAGATGCACTTACAAATAAACAACAACAAATCCACATAACTCGCTATCATGAATAAATTGGCGGGCGAATTCTAATGCACGTACAAATGCTACTTAATATTAAGCGAAAAGAATATATATTAAAATTCACTAACCTGTAATAGCCCATAGTTCCTTCAGACATTCTTCCCTCGACCTCTGTATTGCCGACCTCTTTTGCACCTCAGGGCCTGATTCCAAATACTCAAATAACACAGCACCAAGCAATACATATAGTACAACCAATATTACAAGTCCTATTTGTGAGCAAGCTGCGCGCGCGCACACACCTACTGCCCGCCGGATCACACTTGGCCTCTCCCGTCCATCCAGTGACACTTCAGATGACATTTTCAAATTTTAAATTCGGAACGCATTTCCATTTTGTTTTATTTTTTTATTGTTGGCACTACTTTTATGTTCCCATGGCAAAGACAAACTATCAAGTGAACTTTTCTGGATAGATTATTTTTAATTTCTTTACGTTTTATTGATTTCAAGCATACATTTTTTAATATTAATTTTCATCTGTAACAATGGAAAAGGAAATGTTAGTTACACATGATTCATAAATAATTCTTAGATAGTAAAAATAAAAAAGTAGAACTTAAAAATATAGTTTCTTTTAGGCTATATTCATAAAATCTCAGACAAACTACTCAATCTTTATTGTTTAAATATCTCATCATAATAATTAAACAATAAAGATTTTATCTCTATGAGAATAGATGAAAAAATACGTTTGACCCATTTTATGAACATCGGTAGGTAAATCTGAGGCATTCGTATTATATTTATGTACTTCTATGTATTTCTTTTTTAATATATTCTTTATATTAAATTTAGAAATAAAAATACGATCTTTCCAATTTTAAATTTCGCTCCACATTTTTACGAGCTGAAATATTGTTAACATTTCGGGAATATATATAAAATGTTGTACCCTGGTTGTGACTGCAGCGGGACCACAGTTCAATAAAAAGCAGATATAATTGTACATACAATTATTCCTGTTTTTTATTGTATAATTGTAGAGTGAGACCGCTCCTGTCATATGCAATATTTACAAACGAATAAAAATATTTTTATAGTTGCTAAATTTCTCCGCATATATTATCACCAACGAATATCAAACTTGTACGAATGTACAATTGTACAATTTTCGTAAAGCTCCGCTGGCTATTGATCAAATCTAAACCAACAATAGAACATCCAAACATTTTCACGCAACCCTTTTCCATTTTTCTTGGGAACCTTAAAAAAATGTTATCTACCCGCGGGATTAGATCCCCACCGATCATATATCACTCGACAGTCGACAGTGACATTCCCAAAAGCATAGCCACTATGGGATTCTTATCACACACACAAATTCAACGATCCGCCCTTTTCTAATAGATAAATTTAATAATACGCGGCATGACCCCAACGAATTCAATAATGCACTGAATTCGTGAGCAATCTTCCAACATTTTTCCAACAATTTATCTATTTTTTTTAGAATATGTATATAGGAATTTCCTTTACATAATATCCTATTATTTATAGGTAATCAAATTAAAAATACATATCAATTATATTTTTTTCGATTCTAATAAAGTCATAAATAAATAATAATTAACTTTTTTTTTATATATTGTTTTACTAAAATAGATTCCCTGTATTTTTATAAGTACTTAGTAGTACCTATAGATATTTAGTGGTTAATGAAAAGTAAATACTCCAAGATATAAATAAAATTTAAGTGTTTGATTGTAATTTCAAATTAACATCTTTTTACTAGGTTAAAGCATATGCAATTAAATACGTACGTATGAAAAAAAAAATTTGTCTGTCTGTTTGTTTGTTACTGTTAATCTCCGAAACGGTGGAACAATATTGGCGTAACTTAGGTTACTCTTATTTTAGATTTTATTACTTTAAAAAAAATCCACGCGGACCGAGTCGCGGGCAACAGCTAGTGATTTAACAAAAAATAAGATTAACATTTTCTGTCATATATAAAAAAAACATAATTAAACTCACCTAATGTGGAACAATCTACGTTACGTATTTACAAATCTACGTACATTGAATAAATAACTTTCATTATTTCAGACACAAGAAACTAAGTTTTAAAATTACATTTAACTTTAAAATTATTTTACACAGGTTAGAACGATTATTTCTATTGCTGACTTCATCTATTATGCACCTACAAATTCACTTTTTATTTATACCATCACTTTATGCAAAGATTGTACGTAAAATTTATTTGCTCTCGGAAACTTGACCGTAGCAGGCGGCCCGAAATGACAAGCCCACTTCCCGCCCCAACGTCCAAGGTGGCACTGAGGCATACTTGTATAAAATATACCAGCAAACAGTTTTCCACTGTTCCTTTTCTTGTAGTTGGGTTGCGCAAACCTGCGGGGAAAGCATTTCCACGTGGCTTTGCCATTTATTCAAATCACAAGTAGCGCCATCTGTGGTGGGGTGAATGCAGATTGCCAACAAAATAAGTATAGCGCCATCTAGGAGTCGTGCAAGACAATACAAAAATCATTTGATATTGGAAAAAATACAAACATCATTACTGAAAGTATTATTTGACAATCAAAATTAGCTTTTAAATTAAATATATGAAAGTGCAATATAATATATATATTATTCTTGTGAATAATTAAAATCAATTAAAATGTACATGTCAGTAATATCTGAATGATGTCAACTTTACTTTGTTATGTCATTCATTGTAGTACGGTAACGTCACACGTCAGTCGACATTCTACAACAGTTCAAAAAAACTTGTACACGATTTATCGTGGACACATTTTTTCCAATTTCAATCATATTGTTATTTTTAATAATATTATAAATAAATAAATAATCTTCCCTATATTTATAAAATAACGTGCATAAAATAAACATTAAAAATGAGTACTATACTAGAGAAAATAGCCGCTATTGAGGCTGAGGTTAGTAATTTAGGTTATAAATGAACTAACTTTACTTTTATGTGGACAAATATATAATCTAGAAAATAATAACAGGGATTTCATGCGATTTCTTATTCAAATTATATGCAGCGAATATTATATCTATTTTCACTGTAATTCAAACTGTCGCATATTCCTTACTTCGACTACCTATTCCATCTGTAGTTACAGTCAACTATAGGTATTTATATTGTTTAAATGACTTGCAGATGGCCCGGACACAAAAAAATAAAGCAACAGCGCTTCATTTGGGTATATTGAAAGCGAGGTTAGCAAAACTCAGACGAGAACTTATAACTCCTAAAGGCGGCGGCGCTGCTACCGGCGAAGGTATGCGATACCGATTTAAAAACGTTAAATTCCTATACTGTTTATGAACAATGAAGAATTGAACTATAAAATGTATGTATGTAGAGAGGCAACTTATTAATATTAATTTTGGGGTGTTTAGGATAAAAGCCCTAAAATTACTCATTTATTTATATACTCTCAAAGCACAATAACTCGCAAGTGTATTTTTACACCCCCTTCCAATCGATCCCAAGTCCCATTTAAACGAGGATTATAATTAAGCTAGTCTGAGCTTAGTTTTACATCTGTAATGGTGCCCTAAGACTAAAGTTGTATCCATCAGGCAGGACTTGGCCCTCAGCTGCTCCATAAATCTTGTGGGTTTGCTTTGTGCACTTGCCCCCATATTGTTTGGTGAAGCTGTAAAGGGCACAAGGCAGTCAACATAAACAGAATAGTTTGAAAATGGAAAATATATAACATACAGTACTGTCTATACTGTAAAGAATTACATATACAGACTTAGTAATGTTACTATTATGAAGATGTCTGTGCTCATCTATCCTCTTGCCAATGTATTCAGTATATGCTATAGGTACTACATAGATTTTGAGATATTTTAGAATATTTGTTTTAATTAAATACTTGATTGAAATGCAGCCTAGCCTATATGACTCATTATTTAATTTAATGAATCTTTCATCAATCACATATCAGTTTATTGGTTCATTGGAAAAATACAAAAAATCCAGTATTTTCTTTTCTTTGAATAAAACAATTACTTTGTTCTATTAACATTAAAATGGGGACAAAATTCGAATAATAGACTACAGTCTTCATTAAACTGTGACATTTAATTTCTATTCTAGGATTTGATGTTGCCAAAACTGGGGATGCTAGAATTGGCTTTGTTGGTTTCCCCTCAGTTGGCAAGTCTACCTTGCTATCTAATTTGGCAGGGGTATATTCTGAGGTGGCAGCATATGAGTTCACAACTCTGACTACTGTACCAGGCTGTATTAAATATAAAGGTGCTAAAATTCAGGTAATTATTTTATAAATTAAGTACTGAAATATCATAAAGTCAATGGGTTTCTGATCATCTCATCTTTACCCAGTATTTTTTTGTCAAGGGGTTTGGGCTATTGTCAGATGCTTAGCACTGCGACCATCTATGTTTACCTATTTATCCAGTAAGTAGGGCCCAAAATGTGCACGAACTTTATAAATAACTTAGGACATGCTACTTAAGTTAGCACATGAGCGCACATTTAAGGTGTGGGAGTCCTTGAAGCTTGTATGTCTATGTAATATACATAGAAAATACCCAGACCAATACAAAGAATCAAATTCATGAATTTAAATATTTGTACCATGCTTATTCTCTATTCCAATCACATGTCAGACGAAGTTCTCCGCATTCATTATACGGGTGTCGGTTCCAATGTCTGGCAAAGAGGGAAACTCCAAGCAGTTCCTGGGAATTTTGACTAAGGTGTAGGTTTAGGGTGTAGGGTAGGTGTAGGGTTCCATTTGCAAACGTACATCAGCACTCACATTTACCACTCAAAACAAGCAATTAATATTAAGAAAATTTTTATTAAATCCTGCAGCTTCTGGATTTGCCTGGAATCATCGAGGGTGCTAAGGATGGCAAAGGTAGAGGTCGTCAAGTAATTGCCGTGGCTCGAACCTGTAGTCTCGTATTTATTGTATTAGATGTATTGAAACCGCTACAACACAAAAAACTATTGGAGCATGAGTTGGAAGGTTTCGGCTTGCGGTTAAACAAACAACCACCCAATATACACTTTAGGAAAAAAGACAAAGGTGGAATTAACTTGAATACCACAGTGAGTATATATTAAAGTACATATATATACATATTTATAAATATCCTAATGACTAAACGCATAGGTATTTGTTTACTTAAAAGCGCAACATGCAAGTTTCTTACTCCTGCAGACTCCTGAATCTGCAGGTTTGAGGAGTCTGCAGGAGTACATTCTGAATGAATGGTAGAAAAAAATAATGACTATTCAAAAGTGCTTATATCAAGTTTAGTGCTTATTTTAAGTTTGAATATAGATTATTTATATACTCTTCTATTTGTTAACTTTAATGTAATTAAGAAAGCAAAATACAGTTTTATTTTTAAAAAGGTGATGATGTTTTGTGAAAATTATAGTGGTAGTTTTATCATGCCTGTTTAGTTTTGTAGTAGTAGCTTTCACTGAAAAGTTCAGACACTTGTATTTTTTGGCATTGGCAATAGTAGTATATATTTCTTTTTTTGTGTCAGGCCGATTTCATATCACAACCCCTTGGACATAATTCAGCTTTACTTACTATTGAAATGAAGTATACATTCACGAATTTTTTATATTTCAGTGTACACAAACAGAATTGGACCTCGAGGCAGTAAAGACTATTCTTTCGGAATATAAAATTCATAATGCCGACATAACACTCCGATATGATGCTACCAGCGACGACCTGATCGATGTCATTGAAGGCAACCGGATATATGTACCTTGTATTTATCTGCTGAACAAAATCGGTTAGTAAATAATGTATTAAATTATAACACTTGCGCATTGAAAAATGATTGCAAAAGAAAACAACATAGTTGTGCAAAACAAAAAGGGTAAGGTAAAAGGTCATCTTTTATGTTGTTTTCTTTTGCAATTATTTATGTATAATTTTATTGCTTATAGCATTCTTTTCTGACAACCTAGTTATTGTTAAAATTAACGTTGACTAACTGATAATTTATTGGTATAAAATATATATTTGCTGGAATTTAAAAATATTACAATAACCATTCATACATTGTACATGGGAAGATCTGTCTATCTATTCATAATTAGATTATAGAATTACATTATATTTATGAAATTAGACATCAAGATAGATTACAAGTATTGAATATTTTTATTACATTTTATTTAGTCTATCACTAGAGGACAATTTTGAACTTAAATGCTATCATTGATGATTTTTTATTGTAATAATTTATCAATAAAGGATGTGAGAGAACAGTACAGAGGGTGGACTTCCTGCCTTCTGAGTTATAGATCGTTTTCTCTCGATTACATATTAATTTTATTATAAACAGCAATTGTAACAATTATTTGAGACAAATAAAGATCACTTTTAATATATCAAAAAATGCAAAGGAAGTCACAGTCACTTAAAACTGATTTGTATAAACAAAGTAAAAGCATGTAGTGGGAGTATTGAATAAGTGTGTAAAATATATATTTATAAAGTATAATTTCTTCAATTTTCAGACCAAGAATATGAGGGAAATGAGAATGGGGGGGGGGGGGAGTTGGTTTAAACAGATATGAATATTAGTAATAATTATTAATATTCATTTAATATTATTATTATTTATTTTAATTACACTTTAATCAATAAATTTATTATTATTCTAGATCAAATCAGCATAGAAGAATTAGATGTTATCTATAAAATACCTCACTGTGTCCCAATATCGGCTCATCACAAATGGAATTTCGATGACCTTCTAGAAAAAATGTGGGAATACCTAAAACTCATTAGAATATACACCAAGCCTAAAGGTCAACTACCTGACTACAATGCCCCCGTGGTGCTGCACGCTGACAGAACTAGCATCGAGGACTTTTGTAATAAACTTCATAGATCTATTGTGAAGGAATTTAAATAGTAAGTGTTGACAACTGATATATTTTTGATGACTGAACCCATAATGTGTCAAAGAAGTAAATTGCAGATGAATAATATTTGGTGGTGTGTTGTTGTTTTGTTTATTTGCAATGTTGTTTTTTTTTTTGCAATGTTGTTTCTGTAGTTGTATGTAAAAAAATTCTATTTATTATTGAGCTACAATAAGTGTTGTTGTGTTCAATATTATGGTCGAAAAGGATTTTATATATCAATAAATTGAATTAAATATTAGATTTTTCTCCTTATATGAAATGGCATATGAAATCCTTATAGCCATTTTGATTAGTGACATTTAGTTATAATTTTTTTAACAATATATTCTTATTGACCAGCTACATTGGTATGGACTCTTTATTATTAACATTCCAATTATCTATAAATGCAATTTTTATGTTCTCATCGGATGTCTGTATCAGTTATCTAGTATTCATAACACAAGCTCTGCTACCTGCTTACCGTGGTACTAGATGGCGTTGTGTGAATTGTCCAGGGGTATTATTATTATCTATTTATCTTTTACAGTGCATTGGTTTGGGGATCGTCTGTGAAGCACCAGCCTCAAAAAGTGGGTATTGAACATGTGTTGGCTGATGAAGATGTCGTCCAAATTGTTAAGAAAGTCTAAAGTCATTATCATAAGTTCATTGAAGACTATCTTGTGATTCTAAATTACCTATTCACACGGCATTGTATAAGCCAAAATGATTATTTGACACAAATAAGATGTGTTGCCAACGTAATACATACTAGAAATAACAAACTTCATATATTTATAAATATAATTTTTACTTCTGAAATGATTCAATGTTGTTTTGCCATATCAGCAGGCTAAGGTCTTTAGACCATACAGCCAGTTCGTTAGTTTATTTTTGTTTTGGCATAACACTGAAATCAGATTTAAGAATTATTATGATTTACTTCATACAAATGTTTTTGAAAAGTTACGAATTGATAACTGTAGACCAATTTCGCGCGTCGACATTTCCTGAGATGCGAGAAAAACTAGATATTTGCAGTAGAAATTTACAGAGGACAAGTTTTGACAAGTTTATTTATTTCGCATATTTATAAATATGAAAAATAAAATCTTTTTATGTTTACGAGTATAAAAAAAAGTACAGAATGATGACTAAGAAACTCTTATATAATGCCGTGCATACATAGGTTCTAATAACAGTATCTTATAATGCTTGACTACCTGAAAAGTATTTTTCTCTAACTGTAATCGATTCTAATGACTTCCGTTTGTTCTAACGCTTTAAATATCGAATTTATTGCATTTAACAAATGAACCTAGAATAAATCGAATAGATGTTAATTTCTTCTTATGTAGCATAAATACAGAGTAATCATCATGGTAAACGAATTCAAATGATAGTGCTAATTCGAATATGACAATATTAAAGATTCGAAGTAGTTTACCTAAATTTGAATCTGACGATTCACACTTAACTAGAAAGAAGATAACAATCTGTGCTTAACTTCTACCACCTCTAAACAAATAAATAAAATTGAAGTGTTTGTAATTTCAAATTAACAGGTTTTTACTAGATGCATATGAAACTATATGTACGTTTTTGTTAATCTCTGAAAAAGATGGACTGATTTTTACGGGCTTTCACTCACAGATGATTATTGTTATGAAGAGTTATTTAGGTTACTTTTATTTTTCAAATTTATTTATTTAAAGAAACAAAAAATTCACGCGGATCATGTCACGAGTAAAAAGTAAAGTAAATCTTTACACTTCTATTAAAATATATCGTTAGAATAATGATATTCTTTATCGATTGATATTAAATCAATTGTAAATACTTTTTACGATTCTCTACCGAAACCAAAATAAACCCGAATTGAGTTTTAGGACAGATAATACGATATACTGTATAATCACTTCATAAATACAAAGTAAAAAAAAAATCTATCTATCCGTATTTTATTTTATTAATCTAATTTAGTTTTTAAGTGTAAATGTTTTACGTTCAAAATAATTTAAAAATCTTTTCAGGTAATCAAATTGTTGTTATTGTCAAAAACATAAAATGTATGTTTTAAATAAATGCATTAATTCACTGTGGTAATCTACAGATTACACCAACTTTAAGCGTAATGTTACAATGTATTTTTTTACTCAAATGGTCTGGTTGGATTTATCTGCGTTAAACGGTAGACCAAAATTAAGTCCAGTAGTCTAAGAAACTATGTATTTGAGCAACAATTACCGTGGCGTTTTTGACTTTTGCCCACTCGGATAGTATTATATAATATCATAAAGTGATATTTATGGTTATGTTTTTAATACCAAAAAAAAGTACTGTAACCCTTATGTCAAGAACGCCATCTTACAGAGCCGACAGATTAACTATGGATACAGTTTTTAAGTATACTATGGTTGAATGCACATTGGGATGTTTTAGTCTTGTACAGAATGCTCATTAAACTGTAAATTTATTATTTGTTTTATTTGTCTCCTTAGTACGCACACTAGACGCTATTACTCATTCATTTGAGATTATAGATTTTTAAAACTATTTGGGAAATGAGAGAGTGTGATATCTCATACATAGGATTACGTTCATTAGTCGAACAGTACAGTAGTAACAGAAACTCGCAATGTCGCGTTGATTATGATTATTTCAGTTGTAGTTGTAGTATATTTATTACGATAGAGGGCGCCAGTGTATTATAACTATAAATGGGATTATAGTAATTATTGCAAACACATGAAAAGTACAATGGCGTAATAATCTGCATACGTGATATTTATTTAATTAGTGGGATCTATTCATATTTAATTTTGGCTAACAGAGATTTAGTAGGCTGTATGATTTTGTCCTTTGCCTTTTCCAATGTTGATATTTTTACACATTTTGGAGGTTATAATATTGTTATTGTCCAGTTATTATTTTCATACTTCAATTTTATAGAATAGTAGCTCTAATCTTATAATTTAATTGTTGAAAAAAGGTACTTAATATGTATGTTCTTACGCTGAAATAGTGTGGTAATGATTAATTGCAGTTACAGGTTACCGGAATAAAATAATGACTAATTACGAAAGTTTATCATCGGCAGAGGTATTTACAAGTTTTATTATTTGTTATATTGAATTTCAAATAGTATGCTATAGATATCTATTTATAATACTCTACTAACAATTAAAAAGACTTAAATTAAACATGCATATGATTTTTATTTATTATCATTGTAGCCGGTGGCCTTGGAATGATGTTTGCTGTAGAATGTCCAGTACATATCTTTTTTTCTTGATATTTATAAGCATATTGTATAGATGGCGCTGTTTCGTATATTTTACTACATTTATATTTTTCAGAAAATTCGCGCTACACTCCATAGAGATGTTCGGTCCATTTGTTCAGAAGCTTGCCATTTATTAGGATTGGAAATAACCAAACCAGCAATGGCAATTATATCTGAGTTAGTTTACAAAAAGCTAACTGTGTACGGATCGGATTTAGAAGCATTTGCCAAGTAATTTATTTATCTAGTTTTATACTGTTTGCTACTTATATACTAACCATTTTTATATTTCCGTATTGGATAATAAAATATTTAATAACTCTATTTCCGATTTTAGACATGCAAAACGCACCACAATTAACTCGGAGGATGTCAAATTGTTGGTGAGGAGGAATCCTTCGCTGGTGAGTTCATTGACAAGTAGTAGTAACTAATACCTATATCAATATACCTAATTGTATATTATATTGTATTGTGCTGTAAGGAATATCCAGTGCCGTAAAACTACTTAATAAAAAAGATCGTAAGTTCCAATCTAGCTGACACCATAAACCTTGTGTTCAGTTTCTACTTTTAACTGACTCACAGGATCCGAAATACCGATAACAAACCAAATTAATCCAGAAGATGGTGGTAATACTTTAAATTACTACCCCGGTTATCTTCTTTCTAAATTTTAATAAACTGGTGAATGGAATCACAACGTCGATAGTTGACTAAACTTGTTAATAATGTGGACTATGTTCCCATTGCTAAATTTTAATAAACTAAGTAGATACATTCCGTGTTTTTCACGTTGGGGACAATGTTCATTTTATCATCCTCCACTGGTGCCCCGCCAGCGTAAACCGTTAGCGCAGGCGGGTGCACCATTCCATTATCATCCTATAAAAAAAAGTTGACTCCGCCTTTAGTTACACCTATTATTTCATATTTCATATTGATTTGACACCAACTAGATTCGTAAAAAATATCTTTTTAAATATAATAATTATAATAATCTAAGCTTGTGTTATGGGTACTAGATAACTGATACAAATACGTAGATGTATTTTTTTCGTAAATACATACATATTATACATAGAAAACACCCAGACCTATACAAACAATTTTACTCATGATTACAAATGTTTGTGCCGTGCGAGGAATCGAGCCCGCGACCATCGGTCGTAAAGCGGTGTGCTAGACCGGTAGACCACCGAGGTCGTAAATAAATTACTTTAATTATTACTGCAATTATATTTTTTTATCTATAAAAATACTGGAGTCAATTGATTCTGATATTTTGAAAATACAGATTCGGCCAAGGTAATATAATGCATAATGATATCATAATGTAATGCTTAACCAACAACATAGTATTGTAAATGCAAAAGTACATCTGTCTGTCTGTTGGTTATCTTGGTACGACCTTACCTTATAAAATTTAACGTGAAAGATAGATTGTATCACGAGGTATCTCTAATATGCAGACGGAGTCACGGGTGATAGCTAATACTATATAATTATTCCAGAGAGCACGTTTAAATAATACTCAGCCACAAATCAAAGCAGTAGTTAACAAAGATAAGCGTCGAAAAACAGTCGTTCCTTCCGGAAATAAGCAAGAGGAAATACCAAAACAGAAATCAAAAGAGGATGAAACAGTTATATCGGAGACTAAGGAAACAGAAAGAGAGGCAACTAAAAGGAACGATGATTTCGAAAAAATGAATATCAGTGATATGATAGATTTAACATTCGATTAAAAATTTAATTAAAACTTTTTTACAATTCGTTGTTGCTGTCATTTTTCTGAAATGTTTCAACCTGACAATTCAACCTGAGATGGAGCATTGAAATGCAATAAAATGAAACTTGATTATTCCTATCATATACGAAATATACGAAAATATTATGTATGTGACTACAGTAAAAAAGTAGGTGATTACACTAATAAAAGCTTACGTAATGTCAACAAACTAGTTTTACCATTTACGAAAGTTAGTAATTCGTTTTATGGAAATTGCGTAAGGTTTTACAACAAACTCCCGGAGCCTGTACTCAATTTGCTAGAAAAAAATTCAAATGTTCATAAAATATTTTCTTTGTAAAAAGCTTATTATAAGACTGAAGAATTTATAAATGATAATAATGTTTTTGTAGAAAATATCTAACTTAAAATTCATAGCGCTGACAATGTTATCTGATTGAACAGAGATTAAGTGCGAAGCGGTTTCTATGTTGATTGTCGCATGCCTAATCTTTTTGTTGTTAATTGAATATAAGTAAATCAATATTTATTTAAAAGAGCAACACACAAGTTTCTTGCTTATTCTTCTTGTGATGAATCAGCGGTAGAATAAAAAAATTTGACTATTCAAAAGTAAGTTTATGAATAAAGATTATTTCTATTTCTATAAAACATACAACTACCAGACAGCGGTAACAATGGGCGGCCTTATCGCTAAATAGGGATTTCATCCAGGCAACCTTAAGATGGAGAGGATTGATTAGACTTTGAATCTGGTCGAGGCATATAATTTGTAATTAATAATAAAATGTGTATAGGTTATAAGTTTTTTAATGGATGATAATGTTTATGCTGGCTGTGAAGGATGGAGATCAAGATGACGAGCAAAAAGTAAAACGGCACCGTTGTCTATTTTTTGCGTCATATAGAAAAAATATAATATTATAAAAAATATAGACAATAAAAAGGTATATAAAATAGTTTCCAACACTGGCGGTACAACAGTGGAGGATGATAAGATGAACACGAGGTCAGGTCATTTAGCTCATCGTAACGAATTCAACAGGAATTTATAAAGATGAACCGCGTGAAGGTCAACTATAAGTATAATTACATCTTATTAATATTATATACGCGAAAGTTTGTGAGTATGGATAGATGTTTGTTACTATTTCACGCAAAAACTACTGAACGGATTTTCATGAAACTTTACAGTAATATAGCTTATACATCAGAATAACATATAGGCCATAAATTTCACGCGGGTGAAACCGTGGGCATTGCTAGTGTTATATATATTATACTATAGCGTGCATTACTAGCAATGGAGACATTAAAAAATCCTTCACCTTTTATATGTCGCTACATAACGATTTAGGTAAGAAGTGCATCAATACGAATTTGATGTTAGCGTGTATGTTGTTTACCTTCTCACCACAAATAATCCGTTAAATAGATCTTAATGAAATTTGTGTAAGATTGTATAACGGACCTTTATCTAAAAGAAGTCGTGGGGAACTGCTATTTTTAAATAAAATGGACTAATCCGCTGGTAATAGTTAGTATTTCATATATTTGATGACTGGGTATAAATGAGCAAAGCAAATGCACAGTCGCGGTCTACGGGCGTGCAGTCGCGCCGGACTCCGCCAAAAAACTCGTTATAACGAAACACAATTACTCAGGAACAGCGCAATGTATAGAGTAGATGATATTTACATACATGCTGCATAAAGAACTATTTTAAAACTGTATTTAGTGTGATTTTTTAATTAAAAGTCGATGTAACTATATAAGTTAGTAAAGTTAACTGTTCATATATTATATTTACATTTTGCTCGTTAAAGTTTAGATAAATAAACCATTTTCCCCACAACGATTCCCACGTTATGTATTATGCAGTAAATCTTAATAAACTCATATTTGACTGATTAGTTGATTTTCTCGATTTATAAGTGTCAGACTGCAAAACTGTGCCGGTTACAATTATTGTCAAGTGTTTTTTTGTGAATTTTGAATTCATTAACATAAAATAAAACTGTATGTACCTAAACCTATATTATCAGATGCGTCTTTATGGAATAATAACAAAAATAAGCTTAAATATATCGGGGGTATCTTTCCTCGTTATAAGTAAAAAAATATGTTTTTTAATTTATTACTATTTATTGCACCTCAAAAGTTACACAACGAACATAATTTACAAAGTAAAAAAGTACGCAATCTTTTACAGACAGGTGGTAAATTGTGCATACGTGGAATGAAAGAAAATGTTAAAATTACATTAGATGTGAATAATAATATTATATGTTAAATATATACACGTATTATAAACACAAATTATACAAATATAATAAATATACAATAACATAATATAAAATTTAGTTAATAACTATAATTTCGTCTCTTATATTGCGATATTTACGACATACAATTTATAATATTTTTAGTTTTCATTCCGCTCCACACCTTTTCATGTCCATTGTAGTTAATTACTCCTATAACGACAGTTAGAGCATAATGAGATTTTTGCAATTCAACAGTAGCACATTACAGGGTGCTGTTTGTCAACCCCCACCCCACGGCCACCGCCAACCGTAGGGGGAAGTTATTAGGCAGCTTTGCTAATGAATTTCATGCAAACACGTATGGGTAAGACAGGTAGGTATTGAAAGACTGGCCTGAAATCGTGCCAGTCACCGAAAAGGCTCTTTTTCAGTTGTAACAGTGTTTTTAAGTAATTAAAATAATAATAATAATAATCTGAGGACAATTCACACAGCGCCTACATATCTCAGCCACCAAGCAGCTTGCTTTATAAATTATGTTTCAATTGAATGATGAGATAAGGCAATGCAATTTCAGGATGTAGGGGCATGACATATTAGTACTCGGAAAAGGTAACAGACGTTATATGATGACGTGATATCATTATGATAGCATATAGGCGATTACTATTTACAATAAGTGTGTTTCAGTCCAACAAACAGACAATGCATGTTTGACCGACCTTGGTGGTCTAGCGGTTTAGCACACCGCCTTACTTCCGATGGTCGCGGGTTCGATTGTTTGTATCAGTCTGGGTGTTTTCTATGTATAATACCTATGTATAGAATGTATTTACAAAAATAATATCTAGGATTTTATATCAGTTGTTTAGTACCCATTACACAAGCTCTACTTACCGTGGAACTAGATGGCGCTATGTTACTCGTAATTGACCAAGGATTATCTATACATATAAATAAAATTGAAGAATATAAATATAGTACATACGCCAAAAAATCATTTTTTATAATTTTCGTCTGTCTGTCTGTCTGTTCCGGCTAATCTCTATAATGGCTGGATCGATTTTGACGGGACTTTTATTGACAGTTAGCTGATGTAATAAGGAGTAACTTAGGATACTTTTATTTTAGACACGCGGGTACAGCTAGTTTATTTATAGAAAAAAAGGTTTATTCAAATTTTATTTATTATTGAATGCGAGGCTTCGATGGATACGTCATCTTGGACCTATGGCATATGTGGTCTCAAATATATTTTGTGAGATGCATAGTATTTTGATATCTATAGATGGGTCATCGGTAAAAATGTATCATACAATTTTAATAAAAATCCCTTAACTACGTCAATATAGGTAGGTAGGTAGTTAATGCGTAATGGCCAGCAATTCAGAGGCGTTCTCTGCCCGTCTGTAAAGACCTAGCTACCTCAATTAGGAAGCTGTAATTATCGGCAGCGTCAGTACTCAGACGCCCGTTGAATATGCACGAGGTATGTCCTAGGACCAATTGGAATTAGTACTATCAAGCACTACTTAAATTAATATGATTTTGTACTTTGCAGATCTAGTTTGCACCTCTAATGATTAGATTAAGTAAAACTCGAATGTGTATATTGAATTTTGTTGTTACAGTAATTTCAATATACAAATTATTCGAATATTTTATATAATTAATAGGTAAGATACATATTAAATTAATTCTTATTTTATTTTAAAAATAAAACACAATAATTTTATTTTTATTTAGATAAAATGTGATTTATTGTTGTTAATTATTCAGGATTATTTTATATAAATTAGTGAGTTATTAAAAATTGTAAATTTAACTCCAATAGTCATTAGAGATTACCTACCTGAGTATTATTCGTGCATTTAAGTATCTACTTATGTAACTATTCAAACTAATATTAGATATAATGTGACAGTGTATATGTTTATTACATTTACAATATTAAACTGAACGGATTGTAATGAAAATTTGATATAACGATATATATTATATAAACAGGAAGGGCATAAGCTATCTTTTATCTCAAAAACACAAACAAAGTCGCTAAAGACAGCTAATCTTATTATTATTAATATTATTATAAACGCGAAAGTTTGTTTCTCTTTCACGCAAAAACTACTGAACGGATTTTAATAAAACTTTACAGTAATATAGCATATACATTAGAGTAATATATAAGCTATATTTCATGCGGGCTAAATCGCGGACACAGCTAGTCATTATCTAATTATATATAATACAAAACAAAGTCGCTGTCCCTATGTATGCTTAAATCTTTAAAACTACGCAGCGGATTTTTAAGCGTATTTTTAAAAGATAGAGCGATTCAAGAGGAAGGTGTATATATATAATACATGTATACCCGTGCGAAGCCGGTTCGAGTAGGTAGTATAGTATATTTTGTTCTTCAAATACAGTTCTAAGTGAAACCATATAGCATTCGTCAAGCGTGCCTACTTATTTAAGAGACAAAAGTCGAGAGAGTCGTATCTAGGGTACGGGCTCGGTCTGGCCTGCCTAGTAATACTGGAGATAGGCCTCCGGTGCTCATTAAAATATGTAAATGCTGCGAGACATTACGCAGATAGGTGCTTCTGACTTATTGGCTGGATTGCGGTAAGCCATGCATTGAAATTTCTGGGAAATGTTTTTTTTTGTTTTTAACTAAAACAGTTTTTTTTTAAATATACTAAGGTCTCTACTGTACATTATGTATTACATTTTTTACGTAATATT